CCTGCCTAGAATCCCCCAGTGAGGGGCTGAGGGTGTGGCTCAGTGGTAGAGCACCTGCCTAGAACCCCCCAGTGAGGGGCTGGGGTGTGGCTCAGCAACACCCTGGATTGTTTAAACCATTCACTCCTTCGTAGAGTTCAAAGCCTGCATGAGTGTGGACAGAAACAAGAGCCTCTGAGACAGAAGAGAGGAAGGACAAGAGTGAGAAAGTCACTCACCAAGGTCTCCCAGAGTGACGTGGCCCAGCACATAGAGTCCCCCCTTCTTTAGCTGGTTGGCCAGCCGTAGCAGAGGCAGGGCACCCCGAGGGTTTCCCACCAGGAGCAGCAGCTGGGGCCTCCAGAACTTCACATGCTCCTTGCGGACATCCAGGCGGAGCAAGTACTTCCGCACCTGGAAAGCAGGAGGAAGTGGGAAGGGGGGGAAACACAAACCCCCTGGGGTGGGAGAGCAGGGAGCTTCCCAAGACTGCCTCCCACCCTCCCTTCCGGGTCCCCAACCTGGTGGAAAAGCAAGGCTTGGCTGACGTAGCCCCAACTACTGGGTCCTCCTCGCGCGGTGAGAAGAGCGGAAAGCAGGCCCATGAGGAGAAGGGACCCACCGGCGGCCCCGGGGCTGATGAGGAACATCATCAGCAGGCAGGAAGCCACCCCGAGCAGGCAGGTGTGCCAGGAGAACAGGTTGAAGGTGGGGCTGTGACGGGCAGACGGAAGGAAGGGAGCGAGCGCTCAGGGCTGGCCCTGGACACCTGCCGGTCACTTGCCTAGTCCCCAGCCCCCCCCCCTCGAGGTCCTGTCCTTCCCATTCCTCCATTTGGTCTCCAAGGGGGCTTTGTTTCTCACCGGAAGTTGGGGGCTGAAGCCCACTCTAGACTCAGGCAAGACAGGTCCACGGCGGCATAGGCCACCAAGTAGAAGACGGTGACCACGGCAGCCAGCGTGTTCAGCTTCCCAGCCAGCAACACCAGCTGGGAAAGGACCAAGAGGTAAGCATTAGCCGAAAGTGTGCCAAGGACCGGCCAGATGGCTCAGTGGATAAAGACGGTTCCTGCTCGGCCTAATGACCTGAATTCAATCCCTGAGGTTCACATCCTGGAGACTCAGTTCTCCTCAGCTGTCCTCAGACCTCCACACACACACACATGCATGCACATATGCACGCTCAAGTTTGGGCAACTCTGTGCGCACACACAGAGAAATGGAAGGGATTAGACCAATCTCAGGGGTCCCCAAGTCATGTAGTTCTCTGTGAGTTCCAGGACAGCCTACATAGCAAGTTCCAGGCCAGTTAGAGCTACATAGCAAGACCTTGTTTTCTTTAAAAAAAAAAAAGGGGGGGGGTCAGTGCAAGGCTGGGGGCATTATTCAGCTGGTAGAGCGCTTGCCTGGCATTCATGAAGCCCTGGGTTCTATTCCCCAGCACCCCATAAATCAGGCAAGGCAAAGTAGTGCACACCTGTAACCCAGCACTCAGGAGGTAGAGGTGGAGGACCAGAAGCTTCAGGTCAGCCTGAGAGACCATGGGAGACCATGCCAATCCCCCAAATCCAAAAGTAGAAAGTCAAAACCAGAATGTCAACGCACCTCTCTGCAATATCTGTGTACCCAAGGAGGTGCCAAAGAACCCTACATAAAGCCAGTTTACCCACACAGAGTTCCACAGAATGCCAGTGTCCCCCAAGAAAGATCAATGCACACTTCAGAATGCCAAAGTAGTCCCAGAACTCAGGAGGGGAGGCAAGAGTTCTAGGCCAGCCTGGGCTACACACAAAAAAAAATCTGTCTCAAAAGAAAAGCAAGCCAGGAGATGGTGGCGCACGCCTTTAATCCCAGCACTCGGGAGGCAGAGCCAGGCGGATCTCTGTGAGTTCGAGGCCAGCCTGGGCTACCGAGTGAGTTCCAGGAAAGGCGCAAAGCTACACAAAGAAACACTGTCTTGAAAAACCAAAAAAAAAAAAAAGAAGAAAAGAAAAAGGAAAACAGATAGATGAGGGATGGGGGGTAGAAGTCAGCGGCAGATGACTCAGCATGTGTAAGATACCAGGTACAATCCCTAGGAGTGCAAAACAAAGTTAAGAAATTAAGTGTGGCCAGGTACGCTGGTGCGCATCTTTAATCCCAGCACTCAGGAGGCAAAGGTAGGCAGATATTTATGAGTTCTAGATCATTCTGGAGTACATATCAAGTTCCAGGGCAGCCAGGGCTACATATTGAGACTGTCTCAATATAAATAAATAAATGAATGAATGAATGAATGAATGAATGAATGAATGAATAAATAAATAAATAAAATACCAGTGCACCCCAAAGAGTGCCAGTGTGTGTGTGTGTGTGTTTGTGTGTGTGTGTGTGTGTGTGTGGCTCTAACTAGCTAGCCTGGCCTCACACTTGTGTGTGTGTGTGTGTGTGTGTGTTAGGCTCTAACTGGCTAGCCTGGGCTCACACTTGTTGCAACCCTTATACCTCTGCCTACTAACTGTTAGGATTCTATGCTTGAACTGCTCACCTTATTTATTTATTTTCAGGCAAGGTCTTCTTGTGCGGCTCAGGCTGGCTTCAGTTTCAATCCATTCCCCTACCTCCACTTCCAAATTCAGATTACAGGTTTAAAACAATCGCTGGCCAATATCCTAATTCTCATTTACACCTCTCATCTAGACCTAAGATAGGTTCTCAGTCTGCTAGCTAGACTAGCCAGCGTGGCTGAAAGGAAGACTTACCTGCACTAGGCCCCAGGAATACAGGACAGCACCCCAGGGGTTACCCCCTCCAGAGACTACCTTGGCCGGTGCCAAGATGACTCCTGTAAAAAAAACAAAACAGAATCACTAGACAAATGAGTCCCAGCCTAGAGAGGGCAGAGACAGACCCAGGAGGGCAAGCCCAGAGCAGCGCGGCAGACCCAGCGGGCACCACACCGAAGAGGTCATCCTGGGCCAGGGCATGCAGGATTCGGGAGGCGCCGATGAGAGAGCTCATGGAGGCCGAGAGTGCCGTGGCGTAGATGCCGATCAACACGAGTGGGGGCCACAAGCTGATGCCACGGAAGAACCCATAGTCTTCCTGAAGCAGGGTCCTAGCCAGGAGGAAAAGGCAGAGGAAGGGTCCATCAGTGAGCCATCATAAGGGCCGCATGAGAAAAGGTACCTGTGACACTGTTTCCAGAGCTATGTCCTAGAGGGGGCCTTGTAATGCCAGCACTCAGGAGGCAGAGTCAGGAGGATCCGGAGTTCAAGACCAGCTTCAGCTATATATAGGGAGTCTGAGGCCAGCCTGGGCTATGTGAGACCCTGTCTCAAAAGCAAAAGAGGCTAGGTCCTGGAGCCTGACTGATGACTCACACCTGGAACCTCAGAACTTGGGAGGCTGAGGCTGGAGGATTGCCATGAGTGTAAGGCCATAGGCTAAGACCCTGTGTCAAAACAGAAGAGAAAAGAAAGAACCGCATGATGGTACACATCCACGGGAGGGATGAGAAAATCTCTGGTTCAAGGCCAGCCTGAGGTACGGAGCAAGATCCTGCCTTAAAAACATAACAAAGGCCTGGAGAGATGGCCCAGTGGTTCAGGGAACTTCCTAGTAACCAGGAAGACCTGAGTTTGGATCCCAGCACCCATGTATCAAGCCGAGCACGGGTGTAGCCACAGAGGAAACAACAGATTCTCCGGGTTCAGTGAGAGACCCTGCCGTAGAATAAAGAGAAGGGGGAGGCAGCGCACACCTGTGATTACAGTGCTGGGGAGGCAGAGGCAGGGGGATCTCTGTGAGTTTGAGGCCAGCCTGATCTACACAGCAAGTTCCAGGACAGCCAGGGCTACGAAGTGAGAAACCCTGCCTCAAAAAAGAATAAGAGAGAGAGAGTACTAGAGGACACCTGGTACCTCCCTTTGGCCTTGGAGATGAATGCACACGTACCACACACACACACACACACACACACACATACTTTTAAAAAATTAATACAAAATAAGGTCCTCCTTGGTGACTGCAGCCCTGGTGTCTGGACAAGCCTGATCTATATATCAAAAGTGCCCAGATGTGTTCATGGCATTCCCTGGTTATCTTTGACCTACTTGGATTTTGTCATTCCCAACAGTGTGTCACCAAGAGACAAAATATTTGTACAAATGCAAATTGCTAGAAAGGTGAATAGGGCATGCTTGTGGGTGCCTATAATCACACTGTTCTGGGAGAATGGTGGGAAGATTACATGTTCAGGGCCAGCCTTTGCTACAATAGAAAGTTCAAGGCCAGCCTGGGCTACATAATAACCTACTCTCTCCCCCTGAAAAAGGGAACACAAACAACAACAAAAACCCTCCATTACCAGAAAGGCCCTGCCCCTCATCCCCCCACACTCCAAAGTGCCTACAATTCACACAGTTGACGGCAGCTACTGGTGACAGGCGGACTGTAGCCATGGAGCCAGCCCTGCCTGGTGGCGCCATCTCTCTCCCAGTGGGAGAAACATCTCCAGCTGTCCCTCCAACCCAACAACCTGGGCACCTGTTTGACAACCTGTGGTGACCCAGGGTACCACCTTTTTTTTTGGGGGGGTGGCTTTTTCAAGACAGGGTTTCTCTGTGTAGCTTTGGCGCCTTTCCTGGAACTCACTCTGTAGCCCAGGCTGGCCTCGAACTCACAGAGATCCGCCTG